ACGGGACACAAGTCAGTACAGATAGAGATAAAGTTTCTGTGGCAGCGAAATGTGCATTTGCTTTCAATGAGTTGACGCCTTACCAACCCAATTCAAAATTACGGAATTACAGACTCTTAAATTCAATTAAACTCTGATTAAACCGCATTTCGTAATATCTGTGTAAGGTTAAAAGTAGCCTCTTTCACTGCTATGCGTACAATGTAGTATATAGGCTCGCCTGAGTCCCCATTGCTGCATTTTTAACTTCTTTTCCTTTTAAAACCTAGTCCCTGCCTTCTAATCTCGCAGGGGTAATGATGAGACCTGAGTGAGAATGCATTTTTGAAATTCAAATGACAAATTTAAGTTTTAAATTTATAATATTTTGTTAGCTTTACTATCAATAACATGCTATGCTGAGTGCAAAGTTTTAGGTTATATATCAATTTCTTATCCATTAAATTGAGTGAGAATGTGGATCCTCATAGCTAGTTGGAAAGTTATGTATACATCTACACTTTTCGCACGTTGAGGATGCTTGTCAGATTTCGTCATATCATGTGCTGACTCATTATCTTCTCTCTTTCTCCTTTCCAGTTATCGGATCGTATCAGCACCCTACTTAACACTATATTCTCTTCACCCAACAAAGCCGTCAGGCTGCCCCAAATCGGTATAATCGGCTATGTCGAGACGGCTTTGGCAGTCGCACGTCTTCAGGATTTATGTCAGGCGTACACGTTCGCTTCTAGTGAACTAGCCATCCCCTTGGTCTGTCTTGTCTTCGGTTCAGATGACTTTTGCGTCAGTATGGGTAAGATAACCACTCTTCTCTCTTTCTAAGCTTGTCTTCTTTGGCTAATTCAAAATGTCTCCTCTCTTGTATTGTGATACTAAGCGGATCTTTTAATTTTATTTTAGTCTCGTTACCATACATGGGGAATTTTGGTTATTGTAAACATTGGACAAGTCTGAACTCATGCGTATATTCGCTAATAAGGCGGGAGTAGGATGCAGACTAAACGAGAGAGAAGAATTACTATCCAGACAAACGAATCTCTTCATCATCTACTTTCATTCGAAATGAAG